TCCGCAAAGCTCCACTAGGACGTGTGGGGTCTGTAGGATCGAGCCGCCCCTCCAGGGCTCCTCCAGACCTCGCAGCTCCACTGGCCAGGATTTATGAGGTGGCCCCTGCGGCCAGTCCCGCCCCATGAGCTCCGCCCTCCTTTGGCTTGTGGCCACCGCCGGGCTGCTGCGGGTCCCAATGCCCTAGACCACAGACCCTGTCAGCCTAGGGTCTGAAGTGGAGGGAAGGCCCTGGGAGAAGGAAGGTATCTGTATGGGGGAGAAAGATGCAAAGAGCACCAAAGGCAAATGTGAAAGGGCAGAAAGAGGAAGGGGCCTCGCTTCAAGCGGCAGAAGCGAATGAGGGAGGCACGGTCGGAGAGTGAGACATGCAGAGTCAAAGAGAGGCAGACAGAATTACAACAGGCAAAAGAGACAGTGACAGAGAAGGACGGACCCCTTGCTGCGCTGCATACTGGGAATGAGACAAGCTACTCAGGGCTTCTTTCAGCTGCAGGAAGTGTTTTCAATGCCCTATTTATGAGGCTCCAGAGCAACAGCAAACAGTAAGGGAATGGGACAGAGAAAGTTGGGGTGTGTGTGTGTCTTGGCTCTGTCGGCTGGGGGGTGGGGAGAGATGTCAAAGAAAGCAGCCAGTGCTTTAGAAACCCTTTCTCATAGCCAGGCCTTAGACTCTCCGATAGCTGGGGCAGTGCTCTTGGAACACGGGTGTCCCATCAGCTAGGGCAAACGTCAGGCCTCAATATCCTGTGTCCAGGCCCTGGGCCACCCTGATTCTCCCTCCATATCACTGCCCACTAGAGACTGTGTCATAATACAGAGGCGGGGTGCTGGGGGTCACTATGACCCAAGCTGCATCCACTGTTGACAGGATAGTGCTCCAGGCCTCAACTGGAAAGTAGGAAGCTGGGTTCTACTTCAGGCTACAAGTACATACGCTCTAAAGCCCTTTGAAATTCCTTTTCCCCAGTTCCACTGGGCTCAGCCAGGAATGCTGACACCCTCACTCAGTGCCTGGTCACACCCAGGTTCCACCAGAATCTGACTTTTCATCAGCATTATTCCTTCAGAGGGTAGCTTTTCACTTGGTTGGTGCTAGTGATGTTTGAGGAAATTGCAAGAGAGCTGAGTCAGGCTGAGAAAGGATAGGTCCAAGTCTGTGTCCAGGTTGGCCCTTTGTACAGTGTCTGCCCCAAGATAGACTGGTGTTACTTGCAGGTGCCTCAAAAAGCATCCAGTCCCATCTTGTCACTTGACAGACAGGAAAGTTGAAACTCAGTGAGCTAGAGGTGAGTGACAGAGAGGACGAGAATACAAGTCTGGTGCCTGCTCTAGCATTCTTACCACTGTACCATGTTCCTTCTTCCACCTGCATTTTGTTACAGCTTAAGAGCCTGCCTTTGGAGAACAACTATGTCAAGTTTTTATTGTTCCTCTGTCAAAACAGGGCTACCTCTGAGCCGGGCATGGTAGCACACGCCTGTAATCCCAGCACTCGGGAGGCTGAGGCAGGAGGATCACTGTGAGTTCGAGACCAGCCTGGGCTACATAGTGAGTTCCAGGTCAGTCTCAACTACATAGTGAGACCCTGTCTCAAAAA